CCAGTATGATCGAAGAATGTAAGGAAGAGAGAGAGAGAGAGATCGAGGTGATAATTGAGAAAGACAAGACCCGGTCAGAAAGAGGAATGACCTGACCAGAAGCTTGAAGTCTGAGAAATAAAGAGAACAGATAAAACGACTGAGGAATGGAACAAACGAAGTTAACGAGGCTTTGAGTTACAAGTAGAGAGTAGCCGGAACTCAGACGATGTGGAGGAGGAGAAGGAGAAGCTTAGTATTATTGATAACAGCGGGAAATGACGCTTCAGTGAAAGGCGATAACTTATCAGCCATGATGTGCGGCACGTGATTCCAGGATAAGGAACTGGCATTCCTCATTCAACACTCCCTCTGATTGCCTTCCATTGTCTTCTCAAAATTCACTAGCTCCTGAATAGTTCTGCCGGTTATCTGCATACGGATGGCACTTAAGGCACTGGACGCTTCCCCGTTGCTCTTCTAACCCTCTCCCTGGTCCTCTCTCTTCCTGGTGACTGAATAGTGAGCACTACTTCTCATCTACACCTCCTCCGGACTTCATTTATCAAGGACAGAGGAAGATCGGCCTCGCTTTGGCTGAAATCAGTCTTATTGCGGCCGACACATATTGACTGTCTCTTGCGCAATCTGTTACCTCAAGAACTGCTCTCTTCAGGCCCAATTTATTAAGCACCGAGCGCGATTCTGTTATTGTCACAATATCCTTAACAAAAACACCAGATTGATTGGATTGGGAAAGCGGCGCAAGGAAACCATTTGCGTCCTCTGGTAACCCCTCAAACGCCCACCAGCCAGCATGGCGTCGTCGCTAGAAAACGCAGCTCAATCAATCAGTGCTGGTAGGTGCACATTCCCCCACGACGGAGAGCCCCGGGATATATATGTCTGACATGCTATGATCATCAGATGAGATTGCTCTGTATGATCGTCAAATCCGTCTTTGGGGGGTCAAGGCTCAAGAGAAGTGAGTTCTCGGAATTCCCAGCTGTGCGCGTTTATGAGCTGATTTTGAATGCCCTTCGTTTTAGGATTCGGTCCGCAAATATCCTTCTGATTACGTTCAAAGCATTGGCGAATGAAATCGCAAAGAACCTTGTTTTGGCAGGCATCGGTACTCTTACTATAGTCGATCATGAGACTGTTAAGGAAGAAGACCTTGGAGCCCAATTCTTCATATCCGAGGAGCATGTTGGCCAGAATGTATGTCGTCCGGTCGCGGGAAATTCCAAGTGAGGAGACAAAAAAGCTAATCATGAGGACAGCGCGCCCAAGCTGCGGCCCCAGCGATACATGCGATGAACCCTAGAGTTCAGCTTCGGATCGACACGGAAGATATCCAGACGAAGCAACCGGACTTTTTCGCGCAATTCGATGTTACCATCGCCACGGAGCTTGACTTTCCAACTTACTCGACCATCAATGCCGCATGCCGCATCTTCAACCGTCCATTCTATGCTGCTGGTTTGCATGGATTCTACGGCTTCGCATTCGCCGATCTGATTGCTCATGACTTCGTCATTGAACGTTTCAAATCGAATGTTTCGCCGTCAGCCCAAGAGACACCCACCAGAAGCATCATCAATATCACCACAAAGAAAGAAAATGACAAAATCATCGAGATGGTGACGAAGCGGGAAATCTACTCCCCCCTCATCTTAGCAAACACATCGCCTCTCCCTGAGGACCTGACCCGACTGCCCAGACGACGGAGACAGGTCACGCCACTTCTGACATGCCTTCGGGCATTGTGGGAGTTCCAAAAGCTTTCCGGAGGCAGATTGCCCACATTCTCCCGGCAAGATCTTGAACTGTTCACCAAGCTTGCTCGTGACCGTCACCAAGAACTGAAGCTTGACATCAGCACTTTGGACTCGGAATTTTTACGAAACTTTTTACAGAATCTCGGCAGCGAACTGAGCCCTGTGGCGGCGTTTGTTGGCGGTAGCCTCGCGCAGGACGTGATCAATGTGCTGAGCGCAAGAGAGCAACCACTACAGAACCTCTTACTATTCGACGGCGACAAGTCCGTCGCACCCATCTACCCTTTGCATCCTTTCTTCCCACCAGAGGTGGACAATGCTCTTTCTGCCATTCCTCCTGTTGTGAACGCAATTCCCATCAATGGCGAACCGACCGCCGCTCCTCTACCGACGAATCTACCTACAAATATCTAAAAGCTTCCCAATTGGCCCGGTTGCATGTTGACCGGCGAGTCGGGAGATCGCACGCCCTCTCGAGGCTGCTCCTCTTGTCTTCCTCTACGCACACGTGTTTCAATACTTTTATGACTTGTACGATAGGTTCGCGAAATTGAATCTGGCCAAACCATCTTAATATAGACCGCGTCGTCTTTTTGATACAGGCCGACATGAGTATTTCAAAAAACCGGTCTTCCCCATTATCCAATTAATAATTCTTGTAAAGCCATTGCAACCATCCAGTATATATACAAGCCAAAACAAATGGCCGAGGGCGTCAGGGAGTATAGAAAAGCAGGGTACCCAATCCAGCAACGCCATTTCCAACAAGCACCAAGAATCTCAATCACATCATAGTCGTCAGAGCGAGATAGGCCACTTGTCTAGTTTGAAAAATATGAAGTAAGGGTCTTTTGGTGTATTTAGAACGCAAGTTGTCTCCTTGCGAGCCCACACAAAGATAAGAGATAAAAGAACAAGATTCCGGCAAATCAGGTCGACGACGTCTCTTTTCCGACCAAAGGGGCGCTCTCTTCGTCTTCCGCTTTTCGCGGACCCATGGCGTGGGTTCGATTACCGGGCACGTCCTCATCTTCTTCGTCGGAGATAAGACCCTGCAACTCGAATGCCTCGGCATCATGGACCTGCTGAGACTCTAACGCCGAACGGGCGTGGCCGTTAATAAAGGTAGAGTCCTGTACCGGGTCTGTGGTGCTTGAAGAGCGAGAATGGGCAGAGGGTTTGGCGGAGTTGGGCCATGCGTGGACAGCGTAAATATGTAAAAGGATATTGACGACTACGTCAGAGGTTAGAACAAGAAACTAGCAGCCTAAAAGAGGACAAAGGATAAAGGCGGTCCACTCACAGAGGAAGAGAATGAAGGCGATGCTGTACAGAATCAGAATATAGGACACGTGGGTGATTCCGGCATCGTGGAGTAATTGCATTTGCTCCTCTGTTGCGCCCATGAAGAGGAAGCCAGATGCGTACAGGAGCTGTGAAAATCACTAATCAGTCCAAATTACCTCCAAATGCGCGGTTAAGGAAGAAAGATGCAAGATGAACTTACAAAGGGGGGCAAATATTGGAAGCTGTTAGGGTCCGTTCCGTCGAGGCTCAGCGTGTTTTTGTCCTTCAGCACGAAGGCAATTTCAATGATTCTGGTAAAACCAGCAGCCATCAATGTGTAGCCAAAAATGGAGTGAATCATGGTACTGATCATCAACGTCTGCGGATGAGCCGACATCGCATAACCGGTCAGCAGAATAACGATGGCCGGGATGAGATTTCGCTTGGGGCGGCCATTTCTCTTCCTGCTCATCCAAATACCCAAAAGACCGGCACACCACCAGACGATGCCCATAGTGGTATGCTGCAGATCATTGTGTACCCATGGTCCTCCCCAACGATGCTCCGTAAAGGTGTTGACGCATCCCCAGGCCGCGATGACCAGCGAGTCGAAGAACTCTTGACTGCGGCCGGTACGGCGCAGCCAGAACTGACCAACAAGCAGCAGGATAGTAAGCATGATACCATAGGCAATGAACGCGCTGCCCATGATGAAATGCGCCAGACATTGTCCGAGATGATCACCCTGGCAGAAGCCATTCGCCGCGATACCCCCGAAGAGCATCTGCGTCCAGCTCACAATCGGCATCGCCTTGCCGAGGACGCCGTGCAGCACCACGAAGAACCGACGGATTCGACCATGGATTCCCTTGGAGAGATGTAGCTTGAGATAAAGACCGATAACGACCTGCACCACAAGCAGAAGCATCAATAGGTTGGCGAACGAGGCGTGGACATTCTTTCCGAACTGACGGCCCTTGTGAGCATGGCCTAAGAAGTATGCAACGACTGCGATAACAGTGCCGACGATCTGAAGTGGGACATGCCACCGCGAGCGAACAATCTAGGCAGAACGAGTCGTCAGTTCAAACGTCGGTGCGATCTTCTGCGACCGGCCATTATGCGGATGGTCAAGGAAATGAACATACCCCAAGTACCATTCCCAGCGGGAAGATGATGCCAAAGGTAAATCCCATCAAGACCATATGTATCCATAATGTCGAGTCCTACTCCGGAGAGCAATGTTAGTCCGTTTGCTCTCGTCCACTCAGGGCAGAATAGTAGCAAAGTGCGAACGCCACGACACTTACAATAGGATCTTTGGAGACGGCGGCACCCTCAGGGACACTCTCGTGGCCGCCATGAGCCACGACGGAGGATGCCAGGAGAAGGGCAACAAGTACCCCTCGTAGGTCCAATATACCCATCATCTTCTTCATCAAACTCGACAGGAGGTTGAGAGGGAGTTGAGGGAAGAGGGAAAAAGAGAGCAGATGGTCGATGGACGAAGATGATGTACTCTGTCCTGGTGGAGCCTTCAGAGGTACTGACGGATACGACGGGGACGATTACGAATGCCCGAGTCGGGCCAGGAATTCGGAGTGTTCGGATTGGTCGGAGTTGGTTGTTTATTTTACTTGTATACCTATGTTCTGCAGTATTGGTGATAGCCAGGGGAATGAATTATTGACCAGAAAGTAATCTACCAGAATTATAGCAGTATTTAATGGTGCTGTTGTACTGTTTCAACATGGTGAGGATCTTGCTGTTCATTCTGTATAGCAAGGCCTCTATCTACCGAACAAACAACAGCATCTCGTTTTTCTCTGAAAACATCAACATCTCGTGCAATAACTCTCTACCAGAATCAGATTGCATCGACAAATATCTTGTGTCGACTAACCACTCCCTGAAAAGCAGCACTCTCGTGAATGTTCCTGCTTTGCTCTTCCCATGGCCTCTCCAGGGAGGAATAGCCCCCTGCAGCAAACCACCGAAAACAGCCGTACACTAGACCTCTCGCATCTAACCTCTGAACAGCAGATCCAACGGGACAAGAAGATCGTATGCATTTTTAATTGGCATTTTAGGAGCAGAACGAGTCCCAGCAGAAGCTGACAACAAACAGAAAGCACTACAGGCCTCCATCGCGGACCTCCACTCGCAAACCGCTCAACTTGAAGCTCAAATCGCAGAAATCAAAGCAAAGTTGAAGTACATTTCCTCACTCGCCCAGGTTGACTATGTCAAAAAGTGAGTCCTAAAATACTGACTTTTTTCAAAGACATGATCCCTCAACTACGGTGAAACGCCATATTCGTCTGCTCCATGAGTACAACGAGATCAAGGACATCGGACAGGGTCTGATGGGTCTCATAGCTGACGCGCGTGGGATGCGACAGGTCGATGTGCAGAGTGAGTTTGGGGTGGGAGACCGAGATTGACACCTTTCTTGCCCCCAGACACTGTACGATGGACATCATGTCTGGGATTCCGCTGGCAGATTCCTCCGACAAGACTGTCATGCATCTTGTTCTTCGTTCCCCTTACGTGCGTATAGGTCAAACCAAAGAATATGATAAGTTCGAAATCTGTTCGATTAGGAGAAGAGCGCGATGCAAAATGCTCTCATATCACCCAAGTAGAGAGTGATTCCCAGTCAACTCCAATGATGTCTCTATAATATAAGGCGCCCTAAGTAGCGAAGATGAGGACTAGGTAGAATGACGAGTGCAATCCAGTTGGAACTTTTACAGGGGGATCATAAACACATTAGCGGGGGTGGTATATCCACGGTATTTCCAGCATCAAGAATGACATGATTGAGCAGGGAGGAGGAAAATATTAAAAAGCTTTGTACGGCATGAAAAGAAGGGGAAAGGGATGATTAATGAGTCTTTCCGAGACTCTGCAGATTGACCAGCTCGTAATACCGGCCCTTGTTTCGAATCAGCTCGTGGTGCGTTCCACTTTCGACGATCTTGCCTTGGTCGAACACGTAAATAATATCGGCCTTTTGAATTGTGCTCAGCCGATGGGCAACAGCAATCGTTGTCCGCCCGCGGGCAGCGGCATCCAGCGCAGCTTGTACAACTTTCTCTGATTCGGAGTCGAGAGCAGATGTGGCTTCGTCCAGAAGAAGGACCTTGGGGTCACGCAGGAGGGCACGAGCAATAGCGACACGCTGCTTTTGTCCACCAGACAACATGCCTCCCTTGCTGCCAACGACGGTGTCAAATCCCTCACTGTTGTACCATGTTAGCGGAACCGCTAGGCATGAAAGGAGACAATGGGAAGGCAAACTTACGGAAGTGACATAATGAAATCATAGATGTTGGCATCTTTGCAGACCTTAATCAAAGCCTCCTCCGAGACGTCATCCTTGTCGACTCCGAGCAGGATATTTTCTTTGATGGTACCCTGATACAGAGTAGGTTCTTGGCTAACCAGGGCGAGGAAACTGCGGTATGAGTTGACATTGAGTTTGGTAATATCCTTTCCGTCGACGTAGACCCCTCCAGCAAGTGTGTCATAAAATCGCTCGAGTAGAGCAATCGTAGTACTCTTACCGCATCCACTGGGTCCAACAAGCGCAATGTATTGTCCAGGCTTCACGCTCAGATTGAGTCCTCGAAGAACAGGCTGCTCTGGCCGAGTTGGGTACCTAAAGTGGACGTCCCGGAATTCGATTTCGCCTTCTATGGACTCCAACTTCTCGCCCTCGTCCGACCAGATATCGATGGTCGGCTTGCTGTCGAAGAGTTTCTTGAATTGAGCAGCGGCATTCTTTGCCTTACCCATGTCTGGAGCAAATGAGAAGACAGTTCCGGCTGATTGCGCGCCGAAAAGAATCTCGGAAAAGCAGACGAAGAAGCGGAAGATGCTGTACTCATGGTGGCCTAGAAGTGTACCACCATACCAGAAGCCCAAAGCGACGCAGAAGAACACCAATGCCTGCGACGAGGCATACAGCAGGGAGGATTTCAGCACTGAGATTAAACTTCTTCGGCCTTGATTTTGAAGCTGATCGTGATAAACAGACCAGACGTCTTGTTCGCGAGTGAGTGATGCTACAGTGCGGATCGCTGATGTGGCTTCGCAAGCATAGCTCGCAGATCCTTCGTAGGCGGACCTCGATCGTTGCTGGAATCGAGCAAGCATGTAGAATCTGAGGAAGCCGCATGCCAGCAGGATTGGAACGACGGAAATGCAAACCAGAGCCAGCTTCCATCCGATCGCCAACGCAATGACCATCGCCGCCCCAAGCGTCGTGCTAGTCATGATGATTGTGCCGAGAGTCACTCCGCTAACGCCAGACAGATGCTTCGTCTCCGTTGATAGGAAGGACGTCAAGGCACCGGTGCTGTTCTCTTCCCTGTCGAAAAATGAGATGTCTTGACGAAGAATCGATCTGAACGCTTGACTTCTGGCTCGGCGGATGAGTCTCTCCGAACAAATAGCAAATGCTGAACCGTTGATAGAAAGGCTGATAAATTGAGCAATTCCAACAACAAAGAACATCAAGGACCAGAAATTCGCGTCATGCCTGAGTTTGGGAAACATTGATTCGGGTAACGAGAGCGTGCTGATTGCCTTGGCGTACAGAAAAGCCTGGGTAGGTTGACCACCACCGGCGAGGAACGCGAAAGTCAAGCCAATGAGCATGTAACCCAGCTCGGGGCGGTTAAACGAACCAATGAACTTGATGAGGGTCCAGAGTGAGTACTTCTTGAACTGCTCGGGGACTTTCTTGGATAGAACGGCACTCGAAACTGATTTTTGCGTTCCGGTTCGTTTCATCTCCAAGCGTGCCTTCTCATCTTCAGCATCGAGAGAATTCGAGCTGCTAACTGCAGTCTTGATGCGAGCAACCTCTTCTTGAGCAAAATCATCGGCGTCCATGTCCGAGTCGGCTTCCAGAGCTTCTGCTTCCTTCTCCTCGTTGATACGCTGCGCCTCCACAAGTTTGTAGTAGGTGCCTTTGCGATCGACCAATTCGTCATGGGTTCCCTGTTCCGCAATCTTTCCGCCGACCATGGCAACAATGTTGTGGGCTGTTTTGATTGTTGACAAACGGTGAGCAATGACAATGGTGGTTCTACCTTCGGCGGCTTTATCAAGAGCGGCTTGGACGACGCCCTCAGACTTGGTATCCAAAGCTGACGTAGCCTCGTCAAGCAACAGAATCTTGGGGTCACTGACAATGGCACGAGCAATGGCAATACGTTGCTTCTGACCTCCGGAGAGTAAGAAACCACGCTGACCGACATTTGTCTCATAACCCTCGGGTAGAGCCATGATAAAATCATGAGCATTGGCCATTCTGGCCGCATTCTCGATGAGCTCTCTAATCTTATCCTTCGACTCATGCTCAAATTTGGTGCCAATCAGGCCATGTTCGATGTTTCTAAAGATCGTGGTGCCGAAAAGGACAGGTTCCTGGCTGACAAGAGAAATCTGCTGTCGCAGCCAACGGAGGTTGAGGGTTTGGATGTCATGGCCGTCCAGCAATACCTGGCCTCCTACAGGAAGGTAAAAGCGCTCCACCAAGCCGACAACAGTACTCTTTCCAGAGCCGGATGGACCCACCAGTGCGGTAGTCTTTCCGGCCGGCATCAACAAAGAGACATCTTCCATGACTGTAACTTCCAGTCTTGAAGGGTAGATGTGTTTGACATTGCGGAATTCGATATTTCCTTCGAAATGGTCAAGTTTCTTCCCTTCATCAGAATAGGGGTCCAGGGGCGATGTGCGGTCAATCGTGCTGTAAATCTTGGCGGCCGCAGCAACACCGTTCGTAAATGCCTGGCCATTGGGGGCAACGTTGCCCAAGCTGAACGAGCCGATCAGGATAGCCATCAAAACTGTCAGAACTTGGCCCACGTTGACTTCTTTATCGACAAGGAAGCGAGATCCCATCCAGAAACCGAGACCATAGTTCGAAAACATGATACCGAACATAGCACCCACCATCATACCAAGGATGATTTGTTGTTTGATGCCCCATTTTTCAGCCTCAGCCAGGTGAATTTCATATTGCTTGGCGAGCTTATCTTGTGTGCCAAAAGCAGTAGCATTCCGAATGGAGCTGATGACTTCTTCCGCGACAGTTCCACCAGCACCATAACTTTCGAGAGACTTCTTGCTGTACTTCACAATGAACCGCGACCCACCTCCCATAACCATGACCAGGGCGACGATAGTTGAGGTACAAATCAGAGCCAACTTCCAATACTTGACGTAGGCGACGATAAATGCGGTGACAAATGTGGCGAATGCGGTCAAGGTGAGACCAACTTTTTCAGAGATGGCGTCTTGGATCAGGTTGGTATCAGCAGTGATACGCGTGGTCACTTCACCGGCGCCCAACTTGTCGAAATAAGCCATGTTCTGCCTCAGGATAGCCTCGAGATAGTTTTCGCGAATCTTCTGCGTGAGATGTTCGCCAGTATAGATGAAACCCACGGTGCTGACGTAGACTGTGACAAACTCCGCGATACCGAGATACACAAAGTAAAGAACATTCTTAGTCAGTTGGTGATAGAAATCATGATAGGGCATGGTACCCAGAGAGATGCCTTGGAACGCTGAGGCCAGTGAACCGAAAAGAATCTAGTAGATCAGATGTCAGCCACGAACACTCTTTGATCTAACGACTGACAGATAGCCACATTGCCAGGCAGGTCATACATACCGTGAACAAGGGAAGAGCAGCACCAGCAGCAATAGCACAGATTGTGCTCACGATCATGATCAGGATGTCCGTTCTTGAGGCATAGCGATACAAGATGAAGAAAGATACTTTCACAGATGGTGCCTCAAGCTGTCGCTTGAGTATCTCTTTCTCATGCTCTGGAAGATGGGTAAAGAGAGAATCATCACTCAGGTCGACAGCCTTCTCGGCAGGCGATGATTGATGATCCTTTTTCTTGCCATCTGGAGGCGCCGTGGTTGTGTCTGAGAGCGAATGATGGTCGTGTGACTTTTCATTATCAGCACCGGAAGATGAAGTGGAACGTCCTTTCTCTAATGTCGCTACCTGCAAATCCTCGACCGACTTCTCCCGAGAGGCGGCGCTGTTTTCAGGCGCAGACATGTTGCGCTCAAGACTATGCCGAAACTGACACTCTCTCAGTTAAAGATGCCACAGTTTGAGGACTCCTCGAGCTATCCAGAGTCGCACTAGTCCATAAGTCGGTTAACAGGCAGATAACCTAATATGGGACTCCCTGATAAAATATTCAGAAGCCTTCCAGTGAATCAAGGAGGAAAGGATTATAGGAGAGAATAGACTGAGATGGTGTCGTAAAGGCCCCGCCGTGCTCCCCCACGTAGAAAGGACACTTCTATGTTGTATGGGCTGAAATTTCACGCTGGTCAGGAAATGAAGAGGAAGACTCCATGCAACCTCTTTTTAAGAGCTTCACTCAAAAGAACATGAATT